GTGACAGCCCCCAAAGTACAAATCATCTGGATTGGCAGGGTAATGACAGATTTTAAATTATAGAATGTCAGACCTCTCAACTCTCACGCATTCGGCGTGAGTCTCACGCAATTCGCTTCACTCTCACGCTCTCACGTCACGTTTAGTAAATCTCACGCATATAGCAGTTTCATAGTATTTTTTCAATAATATAATATTGTATTCTTAAATGCACATTATTAATCATTATTCGGATCGCAAATCGAATATATAATCGCGTGTTATTCATGTTCCTGCATGTACGGCCCGACATTTTGCCCGCAATTTGGATACAAAATAGTACGCATATGTAAATACGGCGGACAAAAGGCAGAATCAGTCGGAGCAGAATTCTATATGCAAATTATCAAAGGCAAATTAAAGCTCATTAATACTGTATGTCGCAGAAATACAGTTATTGTACTGTAACTAAAGTGCCTTGTCTTAAAGGACGTTATGACTTATGAAGCAATGTATTTCATTAAAAAACACCAATTCTCATAATGTACAAAATGCCATTTCAGACCCCCGGACTTTTACAAAGGTGTCATCCACATCCTCAATCTCACTCTTAACTTCTCTGCAAAGTTGAGAGGTCTGGAATGTAGAGTTATTAAGTAGATTCCAGGGCTTTCAGAGGGAATTGAATAAAATTTATAGACCTAAATTTTACAGATATTGGTAAAAAAAATAAGGGTTTCATACATGTTTTAATAGGAATTTGTCGGAAAAAATTTTTGACCCTTAATTTAATTGGTTTATGTCCGGAAAAATTCCACCCCCCCCCCCCTTTTGGGAGAAATAGTGGCCAAAAAAAATTTGTGCTGCAGGGCATCATCGGCTTTCGCAGGGCAATTCCAATTGCAATTCTAGCAGACACCCCCTAATTAAAAGGGGCTAGTTTCGCCCCCTGATCGCAGGCTACGGAAAAGTTGGAGAAACCCGTCTAAGGGGCTGGTTACATGGTGCCGAGCTGGCCCGGTTAACCGGGCTGACTCGTTTGTTTAGGACCTTGCTGTGGTTTTAAAACTCGCGTAAAATAAATTTGCGATAAATAATTGGTTTAGTATAGATGCAAAATCATCCTAAACCCGATTTAAAACTCATTTTGCGGCCCAAGGAAGATTTTCGTGACATTTTTCAGCCCGGTTAACCGGGCTGGCTCGGTCCATGTAATCAGCCCCTAAAAATCCTTTATATAATTATGGGCTTTCATTTGGGAAATCTCGTGTACCCAGAGTTCTGGGTACAAATCGGGATATGACATTTGTGTTGTTACTCTGAGTGTGCATCCCATCACTCCATCCGTGTGATTCCCATCTGACGGTGGAAATCGAACCCGCGACCTTTGGGATACTAGTCCAATGCTCTGCCAACTGAGCTACGCGGTCAAGTCGGTTCGAGTTGATGATATTTCGGAACTGAGTCTAGTTCCTTCGATATCAGTGTATTCTATGATACGATCATTTTGTGTGGGTTCGATTCCCACCGTGGCCAAGCTAACTTTTCAGCTTGCAGAGTAACATCACAAACATCATATTCACCTGAGTACACACACCAACACACACAAAATAAATTGGGATATATCGCCAAATCTCGATAATTCTAGTTCAATTTTTTTTTACCTTGTTTGCACGACTTATTTGTCTGCCTATTTAAAATTAGGGCCTGAATTTCAGGTTAGTCTGAACGCTAATTTAAGACAAGTTTCTCGTCTAGAAGAGCTTCTCGTCTAGACGAAATTTCCGTCTAAAGGCTAATTTCCACTCCGGAAAATTATCCGTGGATTGGAACGGACAAGAAAATTTTTCTTTGTGTTTGAAGTCATTAGTTCCAACCCATAGCTCACAAGACAAAGAAAAATTGTCTTGTCCGTTCCAATCCACGGATAATTTTCCTGAGTGGAAACTAGCCTTAACATTCCCGTCTGTTTTAAGTGACGACCTAAAACCAGCAACCTAAAACCAGCCCTATTGAGATCTTATCATCATCTTTTATACTGTAAGTATTACAAGGTCTCCTTTTGGGCCATCAGACAGCAATAATTACGTAAAAACCCAATTTATTGGGCCTACGTGATTCTCTCAACCTCTTTTGTAGAATTCGTTTAATCAGTTCTAACTCAACATTCTTTAATATTTCCCAGTCTTCACTACGCTGTATTCCCACTGTCTCCTCCGCAGGCCCTCGTTGTGTCATGGGAAGGCCAGATTGTGTGTGACCTTCCCATGACGCAACGAGGGTCTGTGGAGGAGGCAGGTATTCTGTAGAAGATATTATTGATCTTCTGTCTTTTTGTCTCAACACCACATACTTTGTGTTTGAGGGCTGCTATTGTCAACAGGTTTTTGGAACAGCGATGGGGTCACCAGAATCAGCAGTAATTGCTAATTTAGTAATGGAAGATGTCGAACAAAGAACTTTAGCCTCTGTTCGTTTTGTCGATGATGTCATCTCTGCGGTTTCTAGAAATGAAATCGATATTCTGCTGCAACATTTAAATTCTATTGAGCCGTCCATCCAATTCACGGTAGAACGTGAGATAAATGGACATTTAGCTTTTTTAGATTTGAATGTGCACAGAACTGTCGAAGGGAAGTTAGAGACTGACGTTTATCGCAAACCCACACACACAGACAAATATTTTTCATACGACTCTCATCACCCAGTAAGCCATAAAAGATCCGTAGCAAAAACTTTGTTTCAAAGAGCTGAATCCTTGCCGTCAAACAGTGATTCTCAAGCTAATGAACGTGAATATGTTCTAAATGTTTTAGGGGAAAACGATTACCCAAAACGTTTTCTTAACGATTGCCTGAGTCACCTGTTTGTATAGGAACCAAAATAACTCCGAGGGTGATCCTGTTAAGGGTTATGCAATAGTTCCATACATTCAAGGTGTCACAGAACCAATCAAGAGAATCTTAAGTAATTGTAATATTAAGGTTGCCTTGAAACCCTGAAAGCCAAAAGATCCTGTTAAAACAAATCAGAAAACTCATGCTGTATATTCTATACCATGAGGTGACTACGAGAAAGAGTATTTGGGTCAGTCTAAACGCCAGTTTGGTACACGGCTAAAAGAACATCAAAAGGCTGTTTCAACTTTAGACAAGGGAAAATCAGCTTTAGCAGAACATGTATGTTACACCAAACACGAGATTGCGTGGGAAAACTCTAAAGTAATTACCACAAACAATCGCTATGGTTAAAGACTATGCCTAGAAGCGTTGCATATAAATATGAGTAATCATGCTTTGAATAGGGATGATGGTGCCTATTTGCCAGAGGAATACATGCATCTCATTGGCAGGTATTTAAGAAGCCACGATTGCAACTTTAGATCACCCCGGCCTGATGAAGACACTAGACTGGAGTGTCGAAACGTTGGGTCTTGATTACAATTCGATTGGGCTTTGTAATAATTTATTTAAACCAGAGTAGCGAGCGAAACATGAAAATAAAACAGTTACACTAAATGCAAAAATGGTCCTATGTGCAATTTTAATACGCGTTATTCCTTGTGAAATGCATTTTGAATGGTTTGTGGTATAATTTTGCATGATCTTTTGTTTACATTGGAGATAAAAAATCCAGTAAGTTCCATTTACAAAACTCCAGAAATATATTTACAACCGTGGTAGCAAGTCTAGCTTAGAATACTGATCACTGCCTAGCTATACATATGCCATATGGATCAGGAGTCCCGCAGATCGTGTGATTTTACCGTACCATCCCGCGCGCGTGAACAAGAGATTTTTAAATGCGCCGCAATTTATTAAATGAAAAGTCTTGCGTGGAATAGCAAACCTTACTATATACACAAGGTCTGGAAATGAGGTATTCTGCAATCTGATTGGTTTTCTACTAGCAGGATATTAGCTCATATCCTGCTAGTAGAGAAAAACAAAATGGCGGCTCAAACTGAATTTCCGACGTTTTGCGAACGAGAAAACGGCAAGTTGTTCGCTTTTTATAGCCTTTACAGGATTAAAAACACTATGAAAAAACTCCCACAATTTGTTTACAGGTTAGAAAATGAATTTTTAAAATTTAAATTGGTTAAAAATACATATTTTTGAAAATTAATCATATCGGCCGAAAAAGCGAAGATAGAAACATAAACAAAATAGAAAAATATTGAAAATATTCGAAAAGCAAAGTCTGTGAATTCAGACCTTGTGTATATAATAAAACAGTTATTCCACTCACTCTCGTCGAATATGAGCGTCATCGGCTTTCAGCTCATATTCGACTCGAGTTCGCAGAATAACTGTTAAATATTTGATGGTGCGGTAACATCCCAGTACGACTTACGGAATTCCTGGTGGGAAAGGGTCCCAAATTAGATACGATTTTCGGATTTTCGCTTTGTTCATCGATTTTTCTTTATACATACAGTAGGACACTAGCTTGGGCACACGACGACCTCACTTGCCGCATAGATTCCACGTTTGGTCTTGAATTAAAATCTCCTTAATATGTCGTTATGATCTCAGTGTGACCAAAGGTGGCCAAAGGTAAATAAAGGTGACCAACAACAAGTGTTCGTTATGTGGTCATCCTGATTATTGAAATATTCGTCCAATAAAGGAATAATTCGCCTATAACAGAAGTACGTTATAGTGCTTGACTGTACGCCTACAGCATATATAACTATGCAATCTCCGCTAGTTGTTACCACTTATTGTCTTATTATTGCATATCATCGTTGATTACCAAAACACGATCACCAGGCGTAAATAACTGTTCAGCCTTTCGGTACATAAAAACTGTCACTACTAGGGAGATCAGAGTAAGCATTATTCCAACTGCCAATGTTATAGCCTAAAATAAAATAGAGGAATTATTGGCCTACCAAGAAAGTTTTATCGCTTTCTGCACAATTTAGTGCACTGGGACCACACGGGTTATCCTGTCAAGCAGTGGCAGTATAGTATTAGGGAGTTTACGAATGTGAGACGGCGACATCAGGACGACCGCTATCAATACAGTGACATTAATCCTATATACAAAAGAAATGAATAAATAAAAGTCTAACAGGGGTTTTAGACGTCGTCCAAGCTCTGTTTACAACGGCAAAATGTATATTTTCACGTCTTGTATTAAGTACGCTAGCATTTCACGTCGTGACAGGTAGTTTTTCTAGCAGAGTTGATCAACATTGCTCGGAGGGTTAAGACTATTTTAAATTCATACAAAAATAAATACAAGACAATATTTTCATACAATCATTTATTTCAAACAGTTGTTTTAGCCGTCGTCCTGACGTCGCTGTCTTACATTCGTAAACTACCCATTGTTTCAACAACGCGAGCTCAACGAATTTCTGCCTGAAATAAATTTTTACAACAAGTATTCATTCATCTCTTTGTGCTTTCTGTTATTGCTGGTTATATCGGGGTGTGTTCCGAAAATTCTAATTCTGGGTCACTTTTGTGCAATTAATTTTAGTGTCATTTCAATTGTCCGGTTCTTTCACATGCAAAACACACAATCTAAAAATACTACCTCTTGAGTGGGATCAGCTATTAGGAACATCCGTATACGATTGTCATTCCCCCACCTAGGAAATTAAGAGAAGAGCGAATGGAGTTAAGAAATGATACATTAGAGTGTCTGAGAATAGAAGACGACAGTTTTCTATCCAACAAATCATTTTATTTACATACAGTACTGGTCAAACGTTTCCGGTCACCCTTTATTGGATGTACAAAAATAGCCATATCTAACTCAAAAATGAAAATTTAATAATTAATAGAGCGAGGTGTTAGCCACCCATTGGTAGTTTTTGAAATTAGCATTGCAAACTGGAAGTACAGTCATCACCAAATGTATGGGATTTACTACATTTTTCCAAAATTTAATTGTGACCATATATTCGATTAATACAATTTTTGCACGGTAATTCTATTGCAAAGTGTTTGTAGTATTTCAGGAACATTGAGAACTTTTGGTGCAACGGGTAGTTTTCAAATTTGGTCAAAATTAACTCAACTGAAAAAATCACAACTATTCAATTATTAATATTATTGATATTTGGCTGAAATTAAAAGAACCCAACTTTCGACTTTACATCATTACGCAGCATTAACTGCCCAAACTGCAGCCTCGTACCCAGGCGCTTTAGTTAGAAAAATGTAATCGCGCTAAGCTACTATATAGACACCAGGGCGAGCGCGCAGGGGTGCTTGGGGAGGACGCGACTTAGCGCGATCATATATTTTTTGCTCTAAAGCGCCTGGGTACAAGGCTGCCCAAACTGAGTAAAACCCTACCTGCTTTCTGTCCAAGTGGAGTATTCAGTTGAACCATAGTCTTCAAGTATGAATGCTGGAGATTTTGCTGGTGAAGAATATACACTTGCCCCGATGCATGTGCCATAAGCATTGTGATATACGAAACTCATCTGTCAATAAAAAAGGTGCTGCAGACAATAAAGAAGGTTAACACCCAAATTATTTTAAGCATAAATCATGCAAGCTCTTTTTCTCTTTAACTCGGCGAGAAAAAAAAGATGGGGTCTCCTTGCATCGTTCCCATAATATACTTGTCAGTTGTTTAAGCAGTAACATGTCTTACATACATTCGAACGTGGTGAATTAGAACCTCTAGATATTATTAATGTAATTAATTGAGAGAGACATTTGCCAATAAATAAAAAATAATAAAATGACTAAAAGGAGCATACAAATCATGATTTATTCCGATCTGCATGGCCTACATAACTTACATTCCCCGATCCAGCTGGACAACCAGTTACATTTAAGTTAATTCCAGTGAAATAAGCCAGCAGATACTGTGTCATAACAGTAATGCCAGAGGGACCATTGAGTTTGTTGTCCGTGCCAACGTAACGAGGCAAGGGACCGTTCTGTGATGCTGTAAAGGAAATGACTCATAGTTATTATCATTATCAAAAGCTGTGTCTGGATAGCACAACCATTGTCCAAAGGTACATGCACGAAATTAAACATTGCTATATAAACCAATAATGGCGAAGCAGGAGTGCATTTCTAATCATAATTTTAGACCAAAATTGCACGATACGTTCAATTTCCACCTCAACGACTTCATTTTTATTTTTTTAGTGGAGTACAATACAGAGCGATAAAATACTGTAGATGGGTTAAGCATTGGTGAATTTACTTTAATAAGCTAATAAATACTTACCCAGGCGATAAGCTTTGTCTTTGGTTACAACTTGTTTAAAAAGAGAACAATTTTGATTGACGATAAGACAACCCAGCAACTCTGTTACCTAAATGAACATAAAAATAGATTAACAAATTTTATGATGGCTAATAAAATAATAAACTTTATTTAAAGAAGGTGCAATTATACAAAAATATGGCTGACATCATATTGCGGGCTACTCCACTATGCTTCGCAGCATTTGGAATGATAGGCATAATACGTAATGTAAATTTTGGACATCTATAGAAAGAATAACATACTGTACATATTTAACCGGAAACATATAGGACCTCCGGCAGGAATCCAACCCGCAGCCATCATGTCAGAGTGCCAAGAGTATGGTAAAGATAAATTATTCCAAAATCCAAATTAAGCATAAAGCTTTTGTGTAGATGGACATTTAGAGCACACTAGTTTTTGAACATTTTCAAGCATTATTTTAGTTAATGCAAAACAACGAAAGCCATTAGTTCGCGATGCTTCTGAAAGAGCTGTGATTGTCTTAAAGGTATTACGTCACAGAAATGGCGTTATCCATGCGTGTGTCTTCTGATTATGGCTCTTGAACAATCAAAAGTTAGAACGAATTCAGTATGCCATATAAATAAAAAGGCTTAATCCACGAGCCGTACGCGGAGCACACCAGGTACTAAGGAAAACGAAAGCCAGCTTATTGAAATGGGTGTATGGGTGGTCATTCCTCTGAGTAAAATGATTAGGATTTTGAGATCGTATGGGAAAGTCGTTTCATACAATGATCTATGAAGCGATTTTTTCACTTTTACTTTGAAGGTATGATAAAGAATATATGGTGGAAAATTGTGAAATATCAGGCAAGTTTGTTTTGATTGTTGCTTTAATTTTTTTGCCCGTACACTGTTTTCATTTATTTTCAGTGCAGCTGTAAGTTTCTAAAATTATCCTATTTTACTTTTTAGATTAACAAAATTATTTTCACGAGGAAATTGTTTGATTTGAACTGATTTCATTTCAATTATGAAGTTCAAGGTGGCTCGATATACTCAGTAACACACAATTCTGATTGGCTAATGCGTGTGTATTATAACACATTGCTGAAGTCATTAAAAAGATCCAATTTGTGAAAAACGGTGCACTACATCTCACTATTTTGTCAGGCGACATATGTTTGTACTTTGAACGATGTATTACATTATACCAAAATTTTATACCACATTATACCAAAATTTTAAAAAATCTATAAATGGAAAACATTTTATCTAACAAAACGATAGAGATTTTCTTATGTTCTGCGTAAAATAGTGCAGTAAGTGCACGAAAAAAATGGGATCATGTTGCTGCTTTCCAAAGTACACGAAACAATAGACTATCTTAGAGTGAATTTCCTACACGTTGTGTTGCTATAGCAACGAACTATATGTGTTACTAAAACATGATTTGTGAGAAGAAACATTAAAATACTGGCATAAGAACATTGTAGGGAGCTACCACTTGTAGCGAGCCAGCGTTCAGTCAGCGGATGGAGTTCATTATTTTTAAGAATTATTTTTCATCTTGAATCAGGCCTGGTTACAAGGCGAAGTCGAAGAAAGTGAGCAGACAATATTATTTTGCTCGCAGCAATATCGAGAAGCCTACTGAACAGTTCTTCCTGCTACGGAAGCAAATTACACCACCTTCAGCTTAAGGTGTACTGCATACGGGGTGGGGCTCAGGAGGGTTTATTCCCCTTGGAAGTAGCACATTACCTACCCGCTCTTCATTTGCTGCCATATCATCGTTTGTTTCGTTGTATGCCAGTTCATAAAGAGTCTTAGCAACTGTAGTAGCGAGCTTCGTTAGATGCTATGAAACAGAAAATATAGTATATGATTGTAGTCTTCAAATAATATATTTTAACAGGTATAGCAGGTTCCGGGTGAGATTTGGGAAGAAGAAGCACAAATGAGAATTAAAAATTGTATAGTTGAGATTTCAATGAACTTACACTGTATGTGAACTTGTTTTGCAACTAGTTTCAATGCTGCTGTGCAATTATTTTAATATTATGCATGGATCAACTAAGACAATTTTCATGTTAGCTTTTGAGTGCTATATCATCTTCCCATGCAGATGGGTAAATAATAACAAACAAGCACGCCAAGTCATGTACATATTTTTATGATTAACAATTTCATCATTTTCATTTAAGGTAGCTCGATATAGTTATCACAAAAACCCTGCTCAAGAATCGCGAACAAAACTGGGCGACCATTTTTACGCGCAGGTCGTGCAAACTGATTAACAAAATGAAAGAACTTCCAAAATGACCTGACGTGAGCAGTTGCTCGCGCCATCTCACGTCATTGCGCGTGTTGTATAGCGTTTTGTGTCGATTGCTGACGTCATTAGAATTTTCCATTTTAGAAAAACAATGCGCTATATCTCTTTATTTTGCCTGGTGACCTATGTTCAAATTTTGCATGCTGTATTGCACCGCTAAAAACTTTCATTATACAAAAAATAAAAAAATTCTGTAATGCCAAAAAAATTTTACCGAAGAATATGACATTTTCGCATTTTCCAAAAAAATGGCATTACAGAATTTTTTTATATTTTGCTAATTGTTAGCTTTTCGTCCAAGTAAAACAATGCAAGAAAAAAAATTGGGGGTCACCATGCTTTTTTTCCAACTATACGAAACGATAGGCCATTTTGGAGTGAATTTCGTACACGTATGTTGTCATAGCAACGAGCTATCTGTTACTAAGACTAATATAATTTGAAAGTAGAGTTATCAAAATATATAAAAAACACCAATATCTGCTGAATAAATCCTAAAAATGCGTAGTTTGAACATGTCAAACTGTTAAGCACCTGAATTTTTGAAAACTGTATCGAGCCACCTTCGATAATTATATCACGAATACTTCCTTGGCCTGGGAGCCTCGCTCTCATGAATCAAGACGAGATGCTATTCACTCACCATTCATGGATTTCATGAGGCTCTCGGGCCAAGGAGGGATGTAATATGTGACGTGACCAATTTAGACTACTCTGTCTTGGGTACCCTGTAGAAAGACAGTCACGTGACGAAGTAGCATGCTTCAATTTTGTACTTTTGACTAGCTTTATAAAAACGATATTTACACCAACAAAATGTAGTATTTTGCGTAATAGTTGGACGGGTAACAGATACAATTATCGTTTGAAAGGCGAGTGGAGCTCAAAAAGAAAAAACATAAATAATCGGAAAAAAAAACACTCGTCGCTGACAGAGTTGATTGACGAGTATATATTTTAAACTTAGATTTTACCCATGAGTCAGTTGTCAGCTTTCATTTCATGCTGACGAAGAAGGAATATATTAACATACCTTAACGTCAAGTCTTTGTACATCATCAAAACGGCTGTTGTAAAATCTGAATAAAACGGAAGAGAAAAAATTTACCTAATTAATAATAGCCAAACTGCCTTTAGAAAAAATATGTATGGACATATTTAACCAGACTTCAATCAATCAGTCAGTTAGGAGGGTACAATTTATTATTGGTGTCAACGGACCATATGCATTATAGACTAAATTTTGATCTCAATTTACAAGTGTAGATAAAAATCACAAAATTAGTAATATTCCAAAGTTTCGTTGCGAAATGTTGTAAAATGCGGATAATATAGTCCTGCGAAGTTTGCCGTTTTTCAGTCATTTTCTATTACAAACTGGAAATTGACAGCCCCAAATGGTATTGGGCTGTCAATTTCCCCTGTGTAATGCAAAATGACTGAAAAACGGCAAACTTCGCAAGGCTATATTATCCGAGTTTACAACATTTCGCAACGATACTTTGGAATATTACTAATTTTGTGATGCTCTTTCAAGCTGTGATGAAATTTTTATCTAGACTTGTTGAGATCAAAATTTAGTCTATAATGCAAATGGTCGATTCTTTAAAGGCCGGTTTACACTTGCAATTTTGCTGCAGGGATTTTAAGTGCGATTTTCTTTTGATGGAGGTGAACGAGTTAGGTAAATGTTCAGATACGGGTATACTTGTATACTCGGATCATTTATAACTCGTCTTCTCGTTTACAAGCATCAGAAGTTGAAAATCGCAACAAGTGTAGATAGCTTTAATTATACTCCAGTAAGCCCCTTGTCAACACAGCTCCCTCTCAAATAAGCTCCCTTGTAATAATCCCACCTTTTTTAGATGAAGACATTTATTAAGTTCCTCCGCTCTCCTTCACATTAAAGGAAGGCGTGTGTACATGTGTTTATTTATATCCTTGTTCATATCACCATGTTTTCGTTTTGCCGTTTAGTCATATTACTATAGTTACATCACATTTTGAAATACACTACGCATGTATTGTTGAATGCTAATTTTACTGTGTTTGAATACATCCACCAAATTATATAGTGTACCGTATAATTAAATCAATACCGTAGGTACCGTAAATCAATACGCTCATCTCAATTAAGCCCCTGCAATGTAGACATTATTGACATTAGCATGCACGTGACTATATCACGTGGAGCTAGAAAGTTAGAGTACTTTAATAGAAGCACGAGGCTAGGGGACCGTGGAGTAATTCTAGACGTTCTATACTGTTTGTACAAGTTGTTTGGTATCTATTGTTATAATCAAAGTGTTTGATATCGATACGAAATCGCGAACATACACCCCTCCCCTCTCTAGTAAGCCCCCTCCGTCCTAAAATGCGTGAAAAATTTAAAGAGACTTACTTGTTAGTGTACGCCGCTTTGTGATCAGCGATAACTAGTCCTGGGATAGATCTATTCCCTTTAAGAAATCTTTGAAAAGATGCAGGAGGGAGAGGTTGTACTTTTGACTGAGAAGGGTCTTTGATTGCCAGGTTCACCGAAGCACCAAATTTGGATAATGTATTGAACATTGTTTTAGTCTAGTGAAAACATTAAAACTATGAGATCACAGTTGGTTAGGTCAGTAACATCTTTAGACGATCAATAAATACACTTTGGTGCTCTTTCCCTCTCCTCTTCGCTACACAGAACACTGTAGAATCCAGATTTGTTAAAAGAACTTACATTGTAAATAACTTAACAGCGTTTATCCAAAGTAGTTGCAAGGGATGAACGAGGCGAGATTCTTACTTGGATGATTTAAATCAATGCCTAACATATTCGACAAACCTTGCTGCGCACGTGTTCTTCCGACTCTGGGTCTCTGTGTGCCCAGAGTGAATTCTCATCCAGCAAACCAACTTGGTTCAGTTCCAGATAATACGCTATGTTTGAAAGATCCAACCTTGGCAATTTAAGACCCTTAAGGAAATAAAAATATATTTATTATCAAGTGTCAGAGTTGTATTCATGAATGTCATTCCATGATAGCGAGTCTTCCTCTTTCGTTTTATACTAATGTTGCAATTAACCGCTTTTTGTTGCATGCCATATATGGCATGCAACTATCATATACCTTAAAATTCGTGTCCGTTGATAAAACTTGCGGCAGATCACATGGAACGTGAGGTAATACGTCAAATACGACAAATATCGAGTTATACCGACAAGCATTTACGAGCAATATAAGCATAATTATAAATCTTGAATCATGTTCACGTTTTCGTCCATGGTTTTCGTCGAGCAAAGGGAAAAAAAATGTTGATTGTTCGTCGAAAATTTACATAATCGAGCGCCTTCGAAAAATAAATCGAGGTAAGTAAAGCTTTGCTGTTTTTAATTTACCTTATATTCTGTTATTTGTTGTGATTTTGGAGCCGTTGTACTCGCACTGATTATTTATCAGGCGTTATATAGCGTGAAAGGCCACGCTATCAAAATACTCAATTTTATAGTCAAAATGAAACGGAGCCATTGTGCTCGCACTGATTATATTGTGTACAAAACTTCAAAACTACAGTACATTTTGTAAATAACATGAAATATAAATACCAAACAACACTCTCATTAATAATATTGAAATTTAATACAACGAAATAGCAATCTACTTCGATAATTTCAATCATAGTTTAGCAATTATTTCCAATCTATTATAGTAATTCACCGTTTCCACGGGTTTTTATACCTTCAAAAAGTTACAATAAAGCTATATTTGTAGGAAATAACATATAGTTATAAATTTGTAAAGGAAATCTTACAGTCAATCGCTTTCAATAAAACTCTGGATAAAACCTTGACCTCGTTATTACCGTCGCTTGCAAGTTGCAACTAACGATGAATGGTCGCTCATAAAAACATTGCCCATTCGCAAGGGAATTTTAAGTTTTCTTATTTTGACATAATATAGCTAGTTTTAAATAAATATATTGAAGTTAAATTTATTGAATCAATATTTTAAGCTCCAGGCCAGTTGTACCAAAGTTATAAGCGCTAGCACATTATAAGGTTTCAGATGGCATGCCACATGTACGCACTGCGTACCTATTTTTTCAGGTAACTTTTGTTATAGAGCGGTGAGGTCCATATTGCAGTCTTAAGGCCGAGACACACCGGACGCGATTCGACAACGCGGCTCGATTTTTCGATTTTCACTGACCGATAACTTTGATCCTTAAGTTTTCCAAATATTTAGAAGCCCTATAACATTTTGAGTTATTTGGTCTACATATCTTTCAAAATTTCCTATCACTGGTTGTTTTATTAACTTTCAAAAACTGAAACATCGCGCCGCGTTGTCAAATCGCGTCCAGTGTGTCTCGGCCTGTACGGTGTAAACAATCCAATCTGGCCTGTCTTATACAGTACATGCAGGATACGAAGGGACACAGCAAAGTGTACGTAATAGAGAGGTGTCTGTTTTGTGGAGTTTTGATTAAAAAAAGGAATTATGTATCGGGAGATTGGGAACTGTTAGAGGTGTCCGTATTAGTGAAGTAATGAATGGTAAAAAGAGATTCGATGGTGGATTTATTAGATATTACATGTTGGTACATATACCTATATGATATCTAAAAAATATTTTAAATTTAGTATAAATAGACGCCGTGTGAATTGAAATTTAGTCTTAGTCTGAAATACTTATTTGCACTCATGGATCGAACTGCTAAATGTAATCGGGTATTTTTCACAAAGCAAAACAATTATTTTATTTTCTATATGTAAATTAACCCCCAAAGATAATGATTAAAATGTAAACGCACTGCACCTTATCTGGGAAGTCGCCATTCATCATATCATAGACCATTCGTGATGAACCAATATAGTCCCATACCTCCTGCAAGAAAACATGACAAGAACATTAGTGAACAGGCTTAATAAACAAGCTGTCCCATGCCTTGATTTCTGGTGATTTTATGGTATATAAAAGATGAATCATTATCACATCAAACGGGTTCAACCTGTATACAGTTCAAGCCCTAAAACACAATCCAACATGTATGGCGAATTGCATTACGAGACCAACTCATTGAAATGAATAGAGGCCAGTCCCAGTCTTTTCACGCATGCGAAGAGCGCTCAATCTGTCAATCATGATGTAGCACGCGGGTCAGATTTGGCTTTTCTCCATAGACAGTTTAACTGCAGGTAGCGTTCCAGTTATATTCATTTCAATGGACCAACTACATGCAATTGTGTAGTGTTTCTGTTCATTTTCAGTTCCAAAAATTAGCGGGTGAATATTCATAAGTGCGCCCAACGTAGCAATTGTGGACAACCAATGTAAAAAATAATATGGGCAGAATGTACATACGCCATGGAAAAATGAAAACATTATATGCTTCTGGTTTTTCTTCAAATCTGGAGCTTTGATACTGTCCTGAAAAAAAGAGCAATGCACAGCTGCTGAATTTAGTACATGTAATAAGAAACTATATAAGTTTTGTTTCAGCAAAGTTTGTAAATTTGATGTTTACATATACAGTGGAAATTATGAAAACACAGGTGAACTTACGTTTCTCGTTAAATTACCAAGAACCTCCGCAGCTGCAAGTAACACGGTGACTCCAGTAGCATCATTATCTGCTCCAGGAGCAAGATCGTGGAAAAACGCCGTGCTGTCCAGCTAAGGAACAATATTAGAGATTCTTAGCATCGATTTGACAATACACATTATTACAAGAACCAAGTTTCACTTTATAACATGACGCACATAACATGACGCACATATAACATGACGCAACGTGCGAGAGGAGGCAAGGAAGAAATTAAGACTTGCCAATATATCTCCACTGCATGCATTTTCAGTAAAATATCCATGCAGAGAGTAATTGCAGATCCGAAAGATTTCTAATTAAAAGGTATGTAAGTCAATATATATGTTGAAATTGATAAATTTGGCATTTTACCATATAATGTAACCTTATAAGTATTCAGTAAGTGCATGGTAACTGCATGCAGAATGGTAAAAAATGGTGCAAACATAATGTGCGAAATGTTTGTCGTATTTCTACAGGTTTAAAGATGAATCTTGTACGAACCTTAGCGGTCGCCAGAATTACATCGTTGTGTGTAAAACTATCATCAGCAAATGAAAACAATGTTCCCCATACATTTTTATCTCCCAAAGGGTCACAAAATCCATCTAAAAACGTAATTTTATTCATGAGAAATGTCACCAGTGCATGGCTATACCAGTAAAAAATGACGTTACTTTAATGAATTTCAAACGGCTTTGGCCATTGGCTTTGTTCAATTTACAAAATATCCAATTTTTGTACTGTCAAACAATTTCAGAAAATATTAGTAAAGCAAGAAGAATTTAAGGACTTTTAAGCACTCTTTATAGAACTTTCAAAGCCTTGAATTGTTGTTCCCAAATTCATGCAAGGAGGTTCAAGGATTTTCAAGTTTTGTATATACGAACCCGAACCTATTCCAGCCATGCATTTTGGAGAGTTAGGTTTTGGGGTTTTGTCATTTTATCCAAATATTAAACATAGATTGTGTAAAAATTATGTTATAGAAAAGAAAGAAACCCTTCCCCTGACATCTCTTACCAGGCTGTCACTCTCTGCAAACTTGCTAGATAAAGAACTTAAATCAACTGATACTCTCGCCAAATTCAAAAAGTCTGCCATTAAGGCGTTCAATTATAGACTGCAGCAATAATTAATATATGCATGACTAGCTAATTTATTGCCAAATTTAATTAAACCCTGCTTTAATACAATACAACGGCAACTCCGAATAAAGTAAGCAATTTGATTCAACGTTTCCACTTTATTTAGTCATCATCTAAATAAAGTCGAAACGTTGAATCAAAATGCTTACTTTATTCGGAGTTACCGTTGTATTGTATTTTATGCCTGTTTTTATTAACCTTATATATTTAAATTAAAGCAGGTTAACTCTCGCTAAGAGCACTTCTACTTGCATGTCTAAAGTATTTCGTAATAGTTATTTCGTAAACAGTTGATGTTTTGGTATTATTGATTGAAAATTAGATATGCTGCTATGTGAAGCCATATAGGTTTTAATAGTTAATCACGGGCAATAGGACAGGTGTAGTGTTGTTAAATAGAAAGTTAGAAATGGTATTGTACTTACTCATGTATTATAATTATGTTTAAAAGATCAGAATATTCATAACTTCTTATTTTGTTTCATAAATAGTTCTTTAATATTCGAAACAAATTCCATATCTGCATCGTCTGCATTCTCGTACCCAGAGCCCTTCTTACGCGCGTTCGACCGAGCACGACGAGGGGCTCTGGCCAAATCCATATCAAACTGGCTTCTGATTGGCCACAACGAAATATATGGTTTATTATAGTAAATATGAATAAAAATACACAAGCGCTCCACGAAGCGTTGGTTTCGCTTTGAAAATTGGGAGAAAAGACATTATTAAAGTTGAAAGAACAGCAGTACGAAGCAGTTAGGAAGATTGTTGTTGATAATCGCCCACAAAAGCAGTAGATGTCGCTAATTTTATTTATTTAAATCAATTAGTTGATTGAAATTAATAGGTTGAGACGTGATGTTCTCGTAGAAAAAAGTCAGTATATTTATGGAGATGCTCGTCGTATTTCCAAATCAGTGATGTTAATCAAACAAATCTGTGTTACATGTTCAAAGCTGAAGTGCCATCTGAAGAGAAAATATTAAAGCCAGCCAGAATATGAAGTTAATTGTGATGACTATTTTCTTCCTAGAAACCGATTTTTTACAATTTTCAAAGGATTTGCAGTATAGTATGTCTTATGTATGACTGTTGACTTTTAATAAAACACAAAAAAGTCTACAAATCTGTACAACAGCGAATTTAAACCGAATATAAAATAGTGAGACAATCTGACAACGTTTAAGAGGGAAATATATACTAAATTTTATCAACATACATTGAGAACATCACGTCTTACCTACTAATTGATTTAAATAAATAGAATTAGCGAAACCTACCGCTTTTGTGGGGTTTTCCTGGAGTAAAACTTTCAAAACGAAACAAACAAGAAAACCAAAGTGTTTATCCGCGTTTGACGTTGAGCATGCGCAGTGTTAAACCAGATACCATGTTTTTATGGTATCCGGTTATGGATTTGGCCAGAGCCCCTCGTCGTGCTCGGTCGAACGCGCGTAAGAAGGGCTCTGGGTACGAGAATGCTTCGTCTGCCATCGCCATGTTTACTCGTCCCAATCTACATGCTGCACGGCATTGCCGCCCCTCCTGGCAAAATAATAAGCAAGCGAGAAAAATTAAGGTTTTCTCGCTTGCTTATTATTTTGCCAGGAGGGGCGGCAATGCCGTGCAGCATGTAGATTGGGACGAGTAAACATGGCGATGCCAGACGAAGCAGATATGGAATTTGTTTCGAATATTAAAGAACTATTTATGAAACAAAATAAGAAGTTATGAATATTCTGATCTTTTAAACATAATTATAATACATGAGTAAGTACAATACCATTTCTAACTTTCTATTTAACAACACTACACCTGTCCTATTGCCCGTGAGTTAATACATGGATTGTGTAAAATAACCTAGTATCTCAGTTATGTGGCGTGTAATTTGTTGTTCTGTTAGATCACTTATACCGATGTATTTATGTTTATATTTATATATTAAATATTATTATATTAATATTATTTACGTTTATATTTATATATGTAAATTTACCATGGTTTATAAATAGATGCTTTTATTATTATTATTATTTAAGAGGAAATATGTTATAGGAACCCAGACAGTGATTAATAAAAAAACATAAAGTTAGCACGCAGTGACTCATCGTAAAATTGTAGTTTATCATCACACTGATACATGTTTTTTAAGACCTTCGATGTTGCTAGAAGCTATACAATATGACACAAATCATAGCTGGTGCGAAACAAAATGCGAATATGGTTTTTAATATGTTGTCTATTAATTATATAGTTGAAGGGTATTGTAGCTAGAAGGAAATTATTAAGTGGAAACTTATATACACTTATTATAGACATAACCAGGAACATGCAGCTGGAAAAAATGCAACTTTAGGTTCCCTGGCATGAGGAATCGAACTTGCACGCGGCTCTATTGCGGCGACTCAAATTATGAAAGAAAGCTACTAGGTGATTTAGTTGCGGTTCTAAAAACAACCATTATATATCTTCATCGTATTTATATCTTTATACCTTGATACGAAATCCTGATGTTTCATCGAATAATAAAGTGTTGATAGCCTGGTATGACGCAAAGCAAATACATTCAAAGCACTTACTCTGTGTATATTTTGGCGCACTACTTTTCCTCATACATGTAGGTGTATCTTTTGCTGCATGCATGAAGCTCATCATCTCCACTCCACATAACGGATAGTCAGGATTCTCGCCATTTACAGGCTTATTGTGGTCTTTATAACACTATAGCAAAACATATTAATAACTGGTATTAAATTGTACGGCATGTTCAGCAGTTCAGCCCTGCATGTGCTTGTTTACATTTTTTGTTAAGAGGTTCATTTTTTTTGGATATTGCGTACTTTCGATGAAGTGTTGGAAACCTGGCACACGATTCAAATTTGAAAATCACATTGTTGCATGCAACATCGCAGGACAGTCCCACAATTTTTCAAGCACATCCGGAGGTCGACATAATAATACAATAAAAATAACTTCACGATTTTCGACTGAACCGCAACGGGATTGACTGACCATGGGTTTTTTCGTCATGTTATTCTGTTAGAGAGAATTCCCATGCATCATTGGGTGGAAATTTTTCGGAGCGATTTGAAAGGACTGTGGATGAGTCAAGCCTTTTTTTCTCCCCAATCGTATCGTACCGAAACGTAGCGTATTTCTTTGTTTCCTGAGCGGTAATGCGGAACTAATGACTTCGACACAAAAGAAAATGCAACGGTGCGTTACGATACGGTTGAAGTGGAAAACAGGCTTCAGTATGAATCCGGATGGAAACATTGCCACGTAAATAAAAATCATAGAAATAATAGACATAGAGTGCGTGCTCCTATCTTTTCTCAGTAAAAATTTTGTCTCCACAAAATGGCGGATTTATAAGGGAATTTTGGCTAGTCCCAGACTCCTGAGGCGGGGAATTTCGCGCGGTTGTAGGGAGTGCGCGAATTGTTTGGGGTTTTTTTTCAACAAAGTTTGCAAAAACAATTATATCGAGACTTGAAGTGGAAAAAAAGTTTTTTAAAGAAGAAAAAGTGTCTGAAAACCCATTCCAGTGGTTTTTTTACGAAAATAAATAGTTCTGAACAGAATATATACAGAAATTGTCGTTTGAAAATACATTTTCAACGTTGTTGTGCAAGCCAAAACAAAACACGAAAGATCAAGACAAACTCAAACTCAATACTAAGGTATGTTCTAAAAATATTTCATCTTTTTTATAATATAAATGGAGTTTAATAGTAATCTTTTTAAACTTACACAACTACTTTTTTATATTTTTTACGTTGCTTGAGCTTGAGGCAACGCTTTTGAAACCATAGTTTTCAACGATTATTTAGGCGATTTACAGTTTATCGACAACTAAATATTTTTGTTTCAAAAACACGAAACCCGACGAAGCTAGAATGATCTATCATTTCGTAATTTAATAAAATATTAGCAACGCAGTTACGTTCAAAGCATGCAAAATGTTTTATGAGTAAAATTGTACTCGCCATCGCATCATTACCTATACTAATATTTCAAAATCTATCCCCCAAACTACAAACTAGATAGCAAGGCAAAACCTTTTGACGATGAAAAGTGAAAACTTAGTTTTAGCTTTGTTTATAGTTTATAGTTTGTACTCCTATGCTCAAATTCAACATGGCGTATTTATAAGGGCATTTTTGTTTTCAATTTGGACATCGGTCACGTGACCAAGCACGCATTCTAGGTCTAATATTTCTATGATAAAAATACAACACAAGGTAAGAATTGTCCACCAACCTTGATCAAATTGTTGATTTCATTTTCTTTGTATAATGCAAATACCGGAATACCATAATCTCTATACGACATTTCAGAACCCTATATTAGATGGAAATAAAAACAAAGTTGTGAAGACGACAAAGACAACATCAGTTGTAAAATAACTTCTCGGCACAGCAATGACATCATTTAGTAATGCAGATGGTGTTGCTTCACATACATTATCGTTCCAAGTCACTGAATTACTCCCATTTCCACTGCAACTATAGACTCCATTACTACCATACAGACCTAGGTAAAACATTTACAGTTAGGAGTATAGCCATCATTTCTCGCATATTACAGTACAGTGACAGTGTATTATTATTGGATTCTTGTAAACGGAAGGGACCTAATAATCTATAATGTCTATATATGAAGTGCGTGAAGATAGGAATCTAATTTTATTATATCTATTAGATATTATATCTATTAGATATAACAAAATTAGATTCCTACCTTCACGCACTTCATATAGACATTATAATCAAAAATTGTAATCTAGAATAGTGGAATTGTTAAATATTGCTTCACAAAATAATGGATTTCGAAAAAAGGGTTCCAACCAAATAAACTAATGAAATAAATCGTACCGTTTGCCATTGTGTGTTTACAAAAAAAATGACATAACAACAAGAAAAGCGCCGACAAGCGGCTGTCTGATAATCCGATAGACCACTTTCATGATGACGTCATATAACTACAGCTATCGGAATTTTAATTCCGATTTTCAACATCACACTTGTTTGAAAAAATCACGTGAGTGGCCACGTTACTAAAATTAATTTTTAGTTATGCCCAAAATCTTTAAAAGCGAAAATTTGGACTGAAACCGCAAGAAACATGAAAAGAAACGTTTTCATCAGGAACAAAAACATTTATAGGGTGAGCAAACCGAATTTAGTTTTTCAACTCCAATATCAGCAAACTATTGCCGATGCTTATAGTAATTAGTGTTGATGAAACTTGGTTAGTTGGTTTGAGTAATATGGAGTAATAACCCGGAAGAACAAATACATGCAATATATCGTGGTGTTTTAAAAAATATGGAATTTTCGAGTGACTACTATGGAATTATAATTCATGCTCACAATTTATTTTAAAAGCAAAAATTTGCACTCACTGAAACGAAAAGCAACACGTTTATAAAGAAATGACTAAGTATTGATCATGCGATAAAATATTAAAAGATAAATTGCAAATACTACAAAATCGTGCGGCTAGAGTTATCATGCACTGGACCAAGACATGATGATAGGATTAGATCAAGTGTTCTTTTAGAAGTTTTAGGATGGGATAGTCTACATGTTAGGTGGACTAGTACCCTAATGTTAAAGTCCTTAATGAAAATTGTTCGCCATGTTTAAGAGAAAGCCTCGTAAGACTTAGAGAACTTAATAGAGGCCGTAATTTACGAAATCAGGAAACGGATCTAGCACTTCCAAAACCAAAATTGAAGCGAAGCTTTAAATATAGTGCATCAATGCTGCAGAATAAAGTTAATTCTCTTTACTTGACTTTATTTTTCTTTGTTCTTGGGGTGGGGTGGGGTGGGGGGTTGAGGGTATATATAATATTCTATATATTCTGCTGTTTATATATCACGCCCCTCCTGTAAATTAGCTTTTAGCTGTGCGAGGCTAACGCATTTCATTGAAATAAAATTGATTGATGATGACGATGATGATGATCAACACTAAGCATCAGCAATAGTTTGCTGATATTGGAGGTGAAAAACTAAATTCGGTTTGCTCACCCTGTACAGTAAAATGTTGTTTGTTCCTGATGAAAACGTTTCTTTTATGTTTCATGCGGTTTCAGTCCAAATTTTCGCTTTTAAAGATTTTTTTAATTATAGTAACGTGACCAGTCACGTGATTTATTTCAAACAAGTGTGATGTTAAAAATTGAAATTTCCACATTCTTACATAAAACACCATATTGTATTTCTTCACGATTATTGCTGGTAGCTGTAGTTATCGTTATGTGACGTCAACATGAAAGGCGTCAATATGGGCACCTGTCCGACATCCTAAAATCTGGTTCTCGTATGCCGTCGATGGTCGGCGATGCACTCGTGGATCACTGTTAGTGATCACGGAATGAGAGGATGGTTTCAGGTAAGCAAAAAATGTTACTCATCACCGATGCAAGGCAACGGCACTGTGCAAAGGCACCCGCAGACCATCACTGACAAATGAGCACAAGGCTTAAAATATCGGACACGCACGTGATCCTATATGTATAGGATTGGTCCATTGTGTGTGAGGTAAAATAGTGTCACATACTGTGCAGTATATTATACTAGTTAAATGGAGAATAAATATCAGACATATAGATTTGGCATTATAAGCATAACAATAAACTCACCAAACTTTTCATTGGGGCATGGATACTCCGGAGAAAAACCTAAATATCAACAAAGGCAATACTATCAGTAACATATCAGCAAGGCACAGAGAGGGGGGACAGGGTGCATTTCGCCCCCAGTCTTCTAGCTCCAAAGGGGCCACCAAACGACCTAAAATTGCTTAATACAGGACTGCGAGAATATAAATCCTAGCTGTGTCAGGACTCAGGGCCGGATAACATGCATTATAATATAAGTGTGATATAACAGACGATTTGATTGGCTAATGCGCGTGCATTGTTCCGTGGCACTACCTTGCTCTTTCTATGTTTTTCTGCTTTTTAGCCCAAAATATAAACAACATTTTTTATAGTTCTACGTGAAAAATTAACCGGCTTGATATTCGTCGATTTTGTTGTTGTCTTGACAGGTTTTGGGCAAAAGCGTGCAAAATAGCCGAGAAAAAATTGAAAAAAGATACAGGAATACCAAAAACATACAAAAAGGCAACAAAAACTAAACATAAGTGATTTAGAAAGTACCTTCAATTCTTCTGATAACAACTGCTAGATATATTTTCGGCGAAAAACAAAAAAATACAATAATTTCGAAAATTAAAACTGAGCAACACGACGAAACCTATACGATTTAACGTCTTTCGTGACAAATCCAGCAGCCCAGATCTGCTGAAAAACTTTGACAAATTAGTCTGTGTATCACTGTTTTTTATTTCCAGCATTTTAAACAATTTTTCCGGCTTTATATAGCATCAAAAGTTTGTATATTGCCGGTTTTGGCAATTTTGCTCCTTCGCTCGCTTAAAAATTCGAGCGACAGTAAAAGCATGCGCGTGACGTCACTGAGTACATGTTAGTAGATGTCGTCACCGAGTACATGTTAGTAGTCAATCTTTTGTTACCAGAGAAGTACCAGGCGGAAAACAAATTCTAATAATAAATATTAAAGCCCAGCAAAGTGCTTTTAAAAGAGCCATAAACCATTAAATTTAAAATTTTTTAATAAAGATTTAGTAACGTTTCGTCTTAACTTAAGACATCTTCAGACTATATTAAATTACTCTTACAGCTTGTAATTTAATATAGTCTGAAGATGTCTTAAGTTAAGACGAAACGTTACTAAATCTTTATTAAAAAAAAATAAATTTAATGGTTTATGGCTCTTTTAAAAGCACTTTGCTGGGCTTTAATATTTATTATTAGAAGTCAATCTTTTGAGTAAAATTGTTTACTATGTAATATCTTCTACCATAGAACTTATATTATATTATATTATATTATATTATATTATATTATATTATATTATATTATATTATATTATATTATATTATATTATATTATATTATATTATATTATATTATATTATATTATATTATATTATATTATATTATATTATATTATAAAAGAAAAACTTGTCTTGTGCGTTTATGGTGCGATAATGCACTCGGGGAATGTTGGAAGAATACTCCCAACATTCCCTGCGTGCATTATCACACCATAAACATACGCGACTGGTTTGCTTAATATTGTATACTTTAAAATTCTCCCGTTTTTATTTCATAGGGGAAAATTTTATGTCGTCATAGGAGCATGGGAAAGTTTTGCCCCACGCCCCGCGTAACCTCTCGGCTGCCCTGCATATCAGTAATAGCGACATAGTCTTGGTCAAACTCACTATGAACTCCATAACTAAGCTCGTATACCGTATTCTTTGAAACATTCCACGTGCTGACGACAATAGTTTTGCTTGATATAAAGGCATGCTTTTTAGATATTAACATTAACAAGTCACACAAATTTAGTTTTTAATTAAAGAAGGACAATCAAAGCTCTTAGTATTTCCGGATCGTAATTTTGCGAATACTGGAGTGGCACTTAAATTACATCGTGGCCTAACGTTTTAATAATTGTACTAGAAAACATACTGTAGAGAATACCTATATGGTATACAGGATATGCATAAGTATTGCATGGTATACTGTCGAACTGGAAATACTCATGTCATATGTAGATGTGTAATTTTAGAAATTAAAGATGCAGTACAGTCCGTATGTAAACAAAGGCTTTGTTTACATTTCGGTATCCAAAATATTGAATTTTATTCGACAACTACTTATATTTTCATGATGCTAGAGTATAATAAATTAAGAAGAGACAGCAATCAAGCTTTGCAAGAACATAAAATGAAATAAAAACCTAAATAAACTGTTTGTAAATAAAAAGAGGGCTCCTTTGTGCACATGCGCAGAACGGACTGAACCGCATCTTTAAAGGTCGATATTGCAACAGGCCTGATTGTCTAATGCTCTTGAACCTCAAACACATGAATTTCAAGATCCTCGACATAATGAAATATCTCCCACACTTCACTGCTACCTGAATTTGGAGGATTCGTTCCATTTATTGTGAAATTTCTAGCATATAAGACTAATGCTCCAGAAAGTTTATCAGCATTTATTAACTGTTTCAGCCGATCACTAAAAAACATGAGAATAGAAGTTAATCATTCCCATTTGCAAGAACCACTTATATTACAAAATTCATTTACAGATTTACTGCATCGTTCTTAGCAAAAACATTCCGATTTATATACGGATGTCATTTAAATCACTGTGCATTGCGCCATGCTGAATATGCATAATGGTCTAACGGTGGGCAAATCTTTGTAATTATTCTCAACGTTAACTCTTTCCAAGTGGACGAACATCTCTGTTATTGCCGTTGCCTTTTAATTATGTTACGCTTTATACCCTATTGTAATGAAAAATTGTCGGTTGTACAAAGGCCAGATACTCTATTAGCGCAATTCACTCGATTGACTTTTCATCCTTTTTAAAAATATTGTGACAATAACGACATATGGACCCCATAACAAATATAAAGAAACTTTAATTCATAAATACTAATTAAAACTTTTTAATCTGGATTATATATACATTACCAATCAACGGTCAACAAAAGAATTAAAGCTTGAAAAAGTCACTATCCAGTGAATGCATGCATGGTGCTGCCTTCGTATAAACGTGAACTGGTCCCAGTTGCTAATACTTGCTATTAGATCTTAAATGGTCATACTGTACATTACAGGTAACAGTAGTTTGTGAGAACTATATTACATCGGACCTACGTAACTGCTAACATTAAACAAGAGACAATAGACAACTTGCATGTTATAGACTAATTTTTGATCTTGTATATGTTTGTATTACGTGCGGAAATTGTTACCATTTTTGAGCCGAAATTGTTACCATTTTTGAGCCGCTTTATTAATTTTTGTTTATTTTCGTGTTTATAATTAACAATAAATACTTGGTTACCACGGACCCAAAATGCCGTCCATGTATAAACCCCGCCCCGTATATAAGCCTGCCCCCCCCCCCCCATGTATAAGCCCATCAGCCCTGGTAAAGGATGTGCTGCATGCATGTGCATGTAGTTGAGTTCATGGCCATGGGATCACAATGTTGAAATATTTACATAGTTCAAGTCTAACAAGAATATCCCCTTACTCTGTAAAATATTCTGCTGTGAATAAAGAAACGTAAGGAGAATATTTTCCTTTATTTAATAACCATTTGAAATTTTCATCAGAATCAATGTAATGCACTACACCAACGTTGCCTTTCCGTTTTGCTACAACAAGAATAAAAACAAATTAATTACAGTCGAACCGCATGTTCTCTTGCGAGCAACATTGCAATATAGTCCCACAATATTCAATTTTGATAGGCAGATTGCTCTGAGCAATTTGTAACCGACGCCAACAAATTGCAAGTTGAAATTCATAAAAGATTTGTAAACAAAGCCTCTGATCGTTATTATTATTATTATTTAAGCTTTATTTTGACACATGAATAATACACATGGACTATTACATTTGAGAAACATATGGACAACATCAAACAAACAGGTGCCAAAAGAGGCGAAGCACAAACGAGACCATGTCCCATGCAGGGTGCTCACCACTAAATATTACAGAACAGACAAAATATATGAAATAGAAAAGAGAAATGGAAGGTTAGAAGTACAGTAGATGAAAAGAGAGAAGAGGTAGAAAGAGATACATGGCGGAGTGGAAGATGTCAGTTGGATGTGATCAAAGAGTGCGAGATAGGTTCTATAAGATTGGACTATAAGAAAGAGGGAAGCACCAATCCAGTTGCCCAGACTATTTGATTGGCTTCCCTCTTTCTTATAGTCCAATCAGATGCTTTGTTTACAAATCGTTTGTGAATTTAAACTTGCAATTTGTTCGCGTCGGTTGCAAATTGCTCAGAGCAATCTGCCTATCAAAATTGCAATATTGTGGAACAATATTGCAATGTTGCTCGCAAGAGAACATCCGGTTTGACTGTAAAAGCAATATTTTATTTTTCGCTTTTTCTCCCAGCCAATATGGTGATCATCTGGGAACATGTCATTGGGGACAGCAAAATATGCGATATGTTATGTCATGATTTCCAAAGATGGTTCTGAAATACAACAGTTCAAACATTAACAATCAATATTTATTGTATTTTTCAGCTTAGACATAGTGTATAGTGTCACCTACGAATATGTTTACAAAGTATAGTGTCACCTACGAATATGATAACAGTTAATTGTTGACTGCACCACTGTTACACACGAGAAAGTAAACTTGTCAAGGAAAACTTGCTTGACATCTGTATGGGGCTTTCAAGCAATAAAAATACTTACATGTACATCCAATTTGATGTGTAGCATTAAGCAGTGTCACACAGGAAGAATATCCACTGATTTGGCTATAGATGCTTTGCTCAATTTTATCTCCTGAAAATGAATATTGACGTTGAAACCTGTACAGTACCAGTAATATGTTTTAGACAGTGCAGCAAAGTAACAGGACTATGATGGGTGATTTCCGTGGCCAATAAATAGGTAAAATTGAAAACTATTTCCAGGTGATATTTGTTCCGTAGCAGATGAACCTGAAGCGTTAGCTATTTCTCTGTGAATTAATTTTATTAGTATATGTTATCAGCGGTTGTTTCGGATAATAAATAAAACCTGAAAGTTGAAACTTTCTTCGTGAAAGTTTGAAACTTCCTTCCCTAATGGCCATCATCCTAACCTCCAATCTGGCCATCTGTTTGCAGGAAGACACAATACATACATGTGAATTTCCAACCATGGTTTCAAACCATGTGCAAGCTAGCGCTTACAACATTGGTGCCTCAACCACTTAACTATAGAAATTTGCTTGAAAACCAATTTATGTACTTTGTTTACATGTTAGTTTAGCATGTTGACAGAACAAGCAGAATAGTTGTGCCAGACAAATATCATTTGTCCGGTCATTAATTAGAGGGGGCAGGAGCAAAACGGAGGGGGGTGAGGGTGACACATTAAAATTGTGCAATAAAAAAGGGGCCTGGTGTTTTCATGCAAGTGAAAATGAGTAAAATACCATGTCATAAAAATTTAAGTTGACTGGTATTTATTTAATTAAATACAAAAATAGACAAACTGAGATCTTAAAACTTGAAAAATATAAACAAGTTGCTTTTCCTTTCTTAATAGTTTAGTCTCAAATTTAGTCATTTCCAGTGCTGGTGACAGTGCTGTTCCAGAACGTCCAAGAACATTACAGCCCTTGAAAACGAGGTCGGCATTTGGCAATGCCGCAGACCTAAATGCCGACCTATCCAGGCTTTTAGCCAGGGTTCTGAAAGAGGGCATCCAATTTTGGTGCAACAATACATCTACAGTAAAGAGGGGGGTGTTCCAAAAACCGTTCCTCTGGAAAACCTTTGAATTTGAAGTTACTTCATGTCAGTACATGTATCTGTTCCAAGCTCATTCGAAATTTTTCAAAACACTTGGCTTTGTGAGTTTGTGCCGGTATGCTTCTTTACGTAACTACGACATTTTCATTCAGCCAGTTTAATACACCATCAAATTTATCAAAATGTCAAATGTATAATAATAATGAGAATTTCATTTCAGATATATTAATATAGTTAGGGAAATCATTGAAAATAATTCCCCTAATTTCCCCTGAATTTGGGCATCCATTTTTCATTCTAGGGGCGTCCCAGGATGCCCTTCTGGCTAAAAACCTGGACATATCAACCTCCAAGGTCGGGAAATTTTTGACGACCTTAATTCAACCAAAGTAAGAATTTTTGGGTGTTGATAGCTGTTAAAAATAGCGAGTATAGAATTCGTTTTGTAGTTCAATTAACTCAACACACTTCGGTATAAACATTGACGGGTATTGTATAATATTTATATATTATATATATACGTTAGGACGTCTGAAGATCAAATTTCGTGCATCTGGAGTTAAAATTTGGCTTCAACTTTTGATTTGGCTTTTCAACAGTTATATTCCAATTTCAATGATTCGTAAATGTGTGATTAATAGTACTCCAAGACGTGGTACAGATTTAAAAAAATGCTGAGACATGCTGACCTAGGACAGATTTAGGTCGGCGTTTATTTTACCCATTACTTGCTGTTTATACAAAGTCTGGTAGAAGAGCAACACCATTCCAATTAAGTGACATATAGCACACTTATTTATCATATTAAACATTCATTTATAACCCTTTCACTCATAAACACAACATTTGTAGTGTTTATATATTTTACTTTGTCTATTAACACCAGATGATTTTACTCGTCAAGGCAAGAGTCCTGGCAATTCAGGAGTGAAAGGGTTAAGTATCTGGGCCCAAAGCTGTGTGTGGGGAAAACTATCAGGTCTGCTGATTCATTTGAAAATTTTAGATTTATGTACACTTGGAATTTATGTACACTATCAGCCTCGTACCCACGTGCTATGTGTTGTTCTGGGCTTGCGCGGCTTTGCATGGGCCGTGTGGCCCACATGCGCGTAATGACGTAAACAAACCAAAGCACCTGGGTACGAGGCTGGTACACTATTAATAGCTTAATCAGGCCTCAAATTTAGCGGCGGCCATGGCGGCCACTGGCCGTCAGTGCAATGCTTGTTGGCCGCTATGCCCTGGAAATATACTGAAATCCACGGCCAGTAGTGGCCTTGCCCTCAACCACAGAGTACAGTACTAAAGGCACTTTTCCACTTATCGCCAAAACAGCTCGCAGCGAGCTTGCTAGTACTTGCGAATAATGGCAAGTAAATCTCAGTGAGCTTGCGAACACTCGCAGCAAAATTAAATAATTTGAACAATATTTTTTGATCGCGCGAACAAAGAAGACCAGTAGCCAATGTAATCATGTGACTAAAGTGAACATACTTGAGAACGTTTTACATACTTGAGACGTCTTCTCCTACGTTGTCTTAAGAGCAAAAGGCGCCGATTTAAAGCGGCCAATTAGTAAATTAGTCACACAAGATGATGTAGTGTGGAAATTGACTCCCAGCTTGCTGCAACTATTTTTGCGATGAGTGGAAAAGAGCCTAGTTTATGCTTTAGAATTCAATACCAAGTGTATGATTTGTAAAATTGGCAATAATCACTTAGGCCAATGGAACTGTAGATTCTGTTTACCGTCCGAGAATTTAAAAAATCTGATGTGGGTTTTTTTCATTATTCATTTTTCATTATTTTTGTTATTGTCTAATTTCCGACCAAAAATGATCCTTAAATCGTTTTCTTTTGATTTCGACCATCAACACTTTTGTCCAGCATTCTTTTATCATTTTTGGGCTTTCCTTTGCTGAAAATTTCTTTGTCACGCCATTGTTTTGGAATTTGCACATGTCAGACTCGCGAATTTCCAAGTGTACCGAACAAACGCTGACTGATCCATCATACATCAGCGATGTACTGCTTTTTATATGGAAGATTTGATGATTTGATGTATATTTGAAAGTTTCGATGCGTAGAATTAAAAATAATGACAAATAATGAAAATAATTAAGAATAATGAAAAATTCTTGCGGTAGTTTCAAGCACATGCGGGCGGTGGACGGTAAACAGAATCTACAGTTCCATTGGCCTTACATACTGTACATAGTTCAATAAGTAGTTACGATACATGTAACTATGATTTTCATTTGGCATTTTTTTTTAATATTGTTGCTGTTCTGTATATTTTTCTTGTCTCATGGTAACTCAAACATTATTTGAAACTTTAAAATAGCAACTGAATAAAATTTTCAAACTGGCCTGGATACCCTGTATACTGGCCTTGATGCCCTGAAAAACTTAGTAACATTACCTTTATTTTTCCCAAATTTGAAGCCTGCTTAATAATGTGGTATGAAAAAAATTTCGAATAGGAGGTGTGTGTGTGTGTGTGTGTGTGTGTGTGTGTGTGTGTGGGGGGGGTCAGCCAAAATTATGCTTTAGTTTGGGGAGGGTCAAAAAAATCAAGCATGCTGTGTCTCATATGCATCCCTAACAAGTCTTGTCATGTTACAGTCTTAGGATTATTGTTCTGCGATGGGGAGCGAAAGGAAGCAAAGAATGTCCAACTACAAAATAATTTGGATGAAAGAGATTTTGGTAAAGAAATCACGGCACAAGTTGTCAAGTGTAATATTTTTATATTTGCAGGATGAAATCTATTTGTCAACATTTCCTAAAATATGATTTTGTGAGAAAAAAATTCAACATCAGCCACACGAGTCAGTTGTTTTACTACTTTAATCCGAATGTCATTTTTCTGGATGGCAGGCAACATTTATGCCGGAAGTGCTTTCTCGCTCAGCTTTTTGACCTTCTTATAAAGTTTTTCTTGCTGACAAATCTTACTTGTTGAAAGAACGAAAACATTGTGTCGTAAAACACCATTGGTAAAACAAGTACCTGGAATGTATTATAATGTTTACATTTACTTACCATATACCTTGATTTTTAACACAGAAAACAATAAAATAAAGATAATATTCACTCGTAAAAATATCTGAAAGTACGCCATAATTTGTTTTCCTTCTGCTCGTATTCACCCCTAATTACCCTCAAAATCCCTTCTCTCAACAATGATTCGTCAAAATGAAGTACTACAGATTAGCCATTTGAAGCTGCTGATTAGCGCGTAACTCTTGCTTTCTGGCTCAATCTCGACATATCTCCGGAATATCTATAAATTTAACTGGACAATCACCAATGGAGAAAAATAATTCCATTGCATTTTCAAAGAAAATCACTGGGAATGCGAAAATTGATGAGAAAATTGAAGAATGGCTTCGACTGGACAAGGTAGACTATTTGAAATTGGATCTACATGTACAATTGTACAACTATGCATCATGCATGTCGATCAAATTGATGACTGTCATGTGGTGTTGTGGTAGATGGATTATGGTATTTTTAATATGTTCTCTCAAAAACAATACGAATTGCATTGTCTGGAAATTTCTGTGGGAATAAGAGTGTTGCTGAGCTTGGATTTTATAATTAGATCTTAGTGAATATGAATACCATGGCACTATTGCACAATGCACAACTTCTTCAAATTCCATGAACCATTATGCCAACCCACCCCTAGGCAGTTGACATTTTGGCGAGAAAATGTTGCAAATGCCCCACCATTGGGTAAAAATAACGATAAAAAATCCCCACCCGTGGAGACTCACAATCGATGCAAATGCCCCACCCTTGGGGGGCAAAATAACAGTTTTCTGGGTAGCAAGTATTTTAATTTATATTAGGGACCGGTCATTATTTATGGAAGGGGGAGGGGAATTTTTTCTTTCCTAATTTTTTAAAATTGAAAGCCCCCCCTTAATTAAAAAAGCATAAATTTAATGATGACCCCCCTGCATATTAGAATATTTTTCTTTGACCCCCCCCCCCATTTTCATTTTTACTCTTCAAATGGGGATACACAGGCATTATAGTGTTAATTATTAAATAAGAATATGGAGCTGACAAGATATTAACGTCGACCAAAATATATATTAGCAGAAAATTTTAATTAAAAGAGGAGTATTTATTTTATAATAACACTAAAATCAGGTTTTCATTTGGTCTGGGTGATTGTAACCATGTTTAACGACAGAGTATTACAGTTGGTTTCACGAAACTTTGACCACAAATGTTCCGAACTTTGTTGCGAAGTTCACGAGTTCGTTGCGAAGTTCGGAAGTTCATATTGGAATTTACAAGCCAATTTGTAAACAAAGTCCCTGATTGTATGCTCGCCTTGTATTTGGTTGCAAAGCATAGAACAACCACAGGCATTGTCTGTTGATGGCGAGCGTAACTAGAACCGTGAATTTGGTTATTCAAGGTAATTGACATGTGCACACCCTGGTCATTAGAAACACGCCCAAGATCTAAAATCCTAGCTAAGACCCTGGTGTGGAGGCAGGTGCCGTTTGTGGTCCAAGGCTGTAACTAGGCTTGATGGCACGAAGTATGGGACCGGTCATTATTTATGGAAGTGGGGGGAGGGGAATTTTTTCTTTCCTAAATTTTTAAAATTGAAAGCCCCCCCCCTTAAAAGAACAGAAATGTAATGATGACCCCCCCCCCCCTACATATTAGAATATTTTTCTTTGATCCCCCCCCATTTTTATTTTTACTTGACAAATGGGGATACCCAACACCGCGGAAAAACGTCTGCGCATGCACCAAATTATGAAAATATGGCGGGGATTTGAATATCAATTTCTAAAACAAAAACATGCTTATTAATTGGTCAAAAATTACTAAAACAAACGAGAAAATATAGCAAATGGGTAGACTAGACATTAATTGAAAGCGTCCTGCCATTTAAAGTATGGAATGAAATATAATTCATGTAAAAAATTGTTGATTTTAATGTACATGACTTCGAAAATTTTTGCAAAATTATTCAAAACAAAAATTCAAACTCAAAAGTTAAGAAAACTCTCGAAAAGTTAAGCTTCTTAACCCACTCAAATTGTAGAATAAATCCTAAAGTTTAATTATTGTGAACACGAAAATTTTTTATGTTTGGCGACACAGTTTTTTTTAAAGAAATGTATCTCAAACGAAAATTCGGTAGTGGTCGTTGCTTAGTTGATAAACAAAATGTTTCAGACAATAAATTTGTCAACAATCACCTTTAGTTCATGTTCTTGTACAATACAATTTCTTGAACCTTCTGGCTGTATTTATTCCTAGTTTTTAGAATGACATGTTTATTTTTGCGCTCGAAATCTGGCTGTAAAGACCCACAATGAAGTCACTCCTTTTTACCGCCATTTTGAGCCTTCGGAAACGTTCGGAACAGCTTCTCATCAAGTTCGCAATACTATTACAGGTAAGGTGGACTAATGCGCAGACGTTTTTCCGCGGTGTTGGGATACCCAGGCGTTATAATGTTAATTATAATTAAATAAGAATATGGAGCTGACAAGATATTAACGTCGACCAAAAATATATATTAGCGGAAAATTATAATTAAAAGAGGGGTATTTTCATATATAACTCTAAAATCAGGTTTCCATTTGGTCTAGGCGATTGTAACCATGTTTAACGGCAGAGAATTAATATTAGTGTTTGGAGCCAGGTGCCGTTTGTGGTCCAAGGCTGTAACTAGATTTGATGGCACAAAGTATTGCCATAGCAGCTGCGTAGCAATGAGAGTACTAACAATCAGTAATATTAGCAGCAAAAGGAGATAGCTATGACAATTCTGGACATTCTGCCAAGGCATACCTCCGGCACCAGTCACACTGACAATTCAGTGGAAACGAAATATCATGTATTTTAATAACAGACCTGCCAAGTTCGGAAGATAAAAATGTGTGACCATGGCCGTTGCAAGGACTTTGCTTTGGGGGGGGGGGAGGAGTTTAGATGATTTGTTTCAATTCACCTGTTTTTGCGAAGCCTGCGAGGCACCATCATGATTGGTGCCGAGCAAAAAAAATTGAAAAGTTGAATTCTCTAGACCGTCGGAAATAGCATTTTTACAGTCTTTCCTACTCAGGATTTCAATGTTTTACTACTGCCTAACAATGAAGATAAGTAAAATAACTACTGATCAATATGACAGTGTTACTTACAGTTTAATGTGGCTAGGAAAATTTTGGAAATTTTGGAAATTTGGAGTCTCCAGATTGTCAGAAAGCGTATTTGGCCATGTACCCCCAGCCACAATGCATCTGAACGTCTTTATTTGGTTGGTCGATTGTTAACTCTAATTCTACATTTGCACACAGCGTTGTCAATGAGTTATTGTACAAAGAGTGGGATAGCGTCATATAATGGTAAAAATGCGTAACTTTAAGATCATTTTAGTTATGTGTGCGGGACAGCGGGAATAAAAACAGAATGCGTAACTTTCACGTGAAATGCGGGAACCTTGGCAGGTCTGTGTTTAGTGGTCTACATCCTATTTTATGTGAGATTAAAAATTATATAAAATAAAATGACATACTACCAGATAAAATCCTCTAGAATAAACATGGGTGGGTGGGTAGGGAAAAGGTATCTACTGTAAGCGCTAAACTTGGTGCAGCTATAGGCAAAGCATACAATGGCAGTCTGAATACCCAGACTGAAGCACTGATCACAAGGCGCAAAACAACCGCCTTTAATCGATATGACGTCACAGACTCCCCTCAGTGGATGTGGCCTGTATAATACATTCGCCGTTGACCTTGCCTAAATGTATTTAAATAACAACATCAAGATATCTGATGTAATAATACAATGTCCATTTATCTCTGCAATCAGTAAAGACTGATTTGCATACAGCACACAGAAGACAAGATAAATCCAGACTATTTCACATCAGTGACCATGATTTAGTCGCAATTACAACCAAATGGATACCATGCTTATTAAGCAAATTCCTTCAAATTTAATTGCAACCCCCCCCCCTCTCATTTCCTTGAAAAAAATTAATATCCCCCCCATTCTAGTCATTTATTTATACATATG